TCGGCAGGGGAGGAAGAGAGGACCTGGGGCAACGCTCCGGCTCTCACGAGGGTGAACTCTAGCCCTGGAGCTACGGGCTAGAGTTCACTCTCACCACTTCCTGGTGGTCCCAGTAGTAGGAGTGAACTCTAGCCCCATACACACACTGCCCCACACACATTCACAAACTGCCCCCCCCCACACACACACACACCATACACATTTACACACTGCCCACCCACACACTGAACCATTCACACACATTGCACCACTGCTCCTATACCCTACTATAGCCCCATATCCCAGCAGACTCCAGGTAAGTTGTCAAACTGTTCTTAAACGGTTTGATGACTTACTCTGGGAGAGGGTGCCAACGCTCCTGGCACCATAACCACTACCATAACCACTACACAGAGGAGTAGTGGTTATTGTGCATGGAATATTTCTTTAAATAATCTACAAGTGCCCCTCTCAGGCTCAGGCTCTGGATCCGCCATTAGTATATGACATGTATATTAATGTGTGTATTACTTTTATATCTCTATTATATTTACACATATTAATGTACATTTATAAATGCATAATACACAGAGAAATTTCATTAATATGTACCATATGTAATGAGCAGATATTGGCCCAGACTTGTTGCTAGGTGCATACTAGGTGCATACTCCAGCATAATAACATATTTAAAGTGAAGAGCACACCCACAGGACTTCAAAATAAAAAAATTTCAGTTGTGCCCTACATACATTCACCATTTCAGTCCCATTAACAAGCTTTCCTTAATATGTCAAGGTAGTTGGACTGAAACATTGATTACATGCAAAGGCACGCCTGCTTAAAATAAATCTGCACTTTTGTTTATTTTGAAGCCTATGAGTGCGCTTTTTACGTTGAAGTACTTTTTAATTTTAAGTTATCTGTTCTAACTCTGTATCTGCACACTATGCTGGCGCGACGCATTATGGGGCTGGTAAATATTTTTTTTCCAGGGCCTTACTCAAAGCTAAGTTTCACTATAACTACGCACTTAGAGTTAATATGCAAACGCAGTTAGAATTTAAAGATATTTACTACGCAGTTCTAAATTTCACATTACTATGCAGCTAGGATCAAAGGGAGAAACACAGGAAATAAGACCAACAGCAGAAACATACAGGATATAACACTAACACTTGTTACACAATGTTCTATAGCTCTTGTCTAGGGATATATTCACTAAGCATTGCATATAGATAAAGTATATTATTTGAAATAGCTGACATGTTCCAAGTTAGACAATTTTAAACAGACTGAGCCTCTGGTCATCTGTAGCTTGAGCCTTGGGTCAATATAGGCAAAGTGTATTATTCCCAACACTTTGTTTGGAAATTTCAATTTGTGCGAACCGATTGGTTTGGCACTTTGAGTCTCTTTGAGACTTCGTACAAATAGACACGCATTCAGGGACCTTCGGAATGGGTAAGTATGACAATATCCCCCTCTTCAGCACCGCCCAGGGGGTGGAGAGCAGAAGGCTTGTGAGGAAAATGGGCATGGAACCTGCGGACAAGACAGGGAGCATGAACGTTAACTGCAGGGATCCAAGAGCGATCCTCAGGCCCATAACCCTTCCAATGGACAAGATATTGCAAGGAATCATGAGAAAACCTGACATCAAGAATGTAATGCACCACATATCCAAGGTAACCAGCAACTGGGCAAGGGACCGGGGCACGTGTATTAAACCTGTTACAAATCAGGGGTGGAAGAAGAGATGTATGAAAGGTATTTGGTATACGCAAAGAAGGAGGAAGGTCAGGTGAATAAGCCACAGGATTAATGCGTTTAAGGATTTTGTAGAGACCAATTATTTTAGGAACGAATTTCAATGAAGGGACCGGCAGACATATGTTACCAACCAGATAAGAAGGGGCAGGTCTACGATGGATGTAGAGGTTGGTTCTGAGCAGCTCTTTGGGATAATATAGCCCTAATACCATTTTCTGAGGCTTCAACCCCCACTATGAACGGTTTGGAGAGATGAGGATGAGTCAAGACAGGGGATGTGGAAAAAGCTGCCTTAGCTTTCTCTACAGTGGCTAGAGCCTCAGGAGTCCAAATTATAGGATTGACTCCTTTCTTAGTCATATTGGTTAATGGTGTTATAATGGAAGAAAAGTTGTGTATAAACTTTCTGTAATAGTGTCACGTACCCTTCGTATCCAATGTGGCAAAAACTGAGATAATTACCTTCCGAAGATTGAGGGGAGTGCCGCTCAGCGGTCTTCTGCCATGATGCCTGGCATGTGCGGCATGTTGGTGCATGCTGGCTGCCACGGACACGCAATTATATTGCCCCATGTCTGTCCACGGTAAAGACGTTGTTGACATGCGGGTGACGTCACGCAAAAGACGCACACACACGTTTTGTAGTCAAGGGCTAGATACAGCCAATAGGATCTGCAAGAGGGTTATTTAAACTCACTTATTCCTTAGCTAATTCCCCTGTCATGGTTTCACTTAGATGGTTATCAGAGAGTGTGTTCCTAATCGTGTTTTTCTGGTTTTTGACTTTAGCTTTGTTTTGATTTCCCTGATTTCTGGTACCCCTGACTTTTGGCTTTTCCTTATCGCTGTGTCTTGTTCTGTGTCCCTGACCTCGTATAGTTTTCTGACTATTCTCAGGTAAGTTAAGTACGGCCATTCTAAGGCCCGGCAAGACGTTAGCCTTAGTTCTAGGGTGTGATACTATTCTGCGTGCTGGATCAATATAATCCTGACAAATAGTTAGAAAACCCAATAAAACGTTGTATAGCCTTCAGACACTGTGGAAGGGGCCAAGTGAGAATAGCCTAAAGTTTGGAGGGATCCATGGTAAAACCAGATTCTGAAATCACATAGCCCAGAAACTGAATACTAGAGCGATGAAAAGAACATTTTTTCAATTTGAAAAACAAATTGTATTCTAATAACTTAGTAAGAACCAGTCGGACATGTTTGTAATGCGTCTCAAGATCAGGTGAATGTACAAGAATGCCATCCAGATGTACAACAACACATATAGGTAACAATTCTCTTAATGCGTCATTGATGATATCCTGGAAGACAGTCGGGGCATTACGCAACCCAAAATGCATAACCAAGTATTCATAATGCCCACTACAGGTGTTAAAGGCTGTCTTCCACTCGTCTCCTTCATGGATCCTAACCAAATTATATGCACCCCTGAGGTCTTATTTGGTAAATACCTTGGAGCCTTTCAGGTGATCAAACAAGGTGATTAAGGGGATAGGATATATGTTGCGAACCATAATACGATTCAATCCCCTATAATCAAGATCTGAGGTCTCCTTCCTTTTTTGATACAAAGAAGAAACGCTGCACACGCTGGGGAAGAAGACCTTCTAATGAAACCTTTACCTAAGGATTCTTTGATATCCCTCCATGACCATGTTCTCCTTTACAGAAAGTGGATAAACCCTTCCCTTAGGTGACATGGTCCCAGGAAGGAGATCAATCACACAGTCATAAGAGCGATGAGGCGGAAGCTTGTCGGCCTCTTTTTTATCAAACACCTCATTAAGATCTAGATATTGCGGAGGTACCTCCATGGATAAAGGTATAGCAGTGGAAACATTAATTGTCAGTATATGCTTAAAAGAAGAAAGACATTGTTTATGACACTTGATACTCCATTTGGTTATCTTCCCTGTTTCCCAATCAATTACTAGGTTATGTTTAACCAACCAGGGGTAACCCAGAACAACAGAACAGGAAGGAGAGGATAGAACCGTAATCAAACCATTGGTCCAGACTACCTTGGAAGCTAAGGTTCTAAATTCTATAGCATATTCTGCCACTGAGCAAGACCCCTGTCTTATTCTCAAAGACTTGCCAGCATAATGAGCACGACCTGGCACATCAAAAGTCCCTTTGAAGGCAGAAAGAAAGTCAGTGTAGCTATGGACAACAGGTGAATCAGACTGCCATAAAGGGTTGGCGAACCGATCAGTACATTGCCGACCCGCACGCCCATGCGCCCAGCAGCCCAATTGGGTATCAGTACAATTTCACCTTGATTGTGCTTAACACATCAAGTGTATGCACAATTGTCTATAAAGTGATACTGAATTCAAATAAATAGATAATAAATTTTTTTAACTTCAAGTATCTTTAAGGGAACTGAATGCAATTTATGGGAATGCGCATTCTAAAAAAATACCACCAAATGTAAAAATTATGTTTGTAGTTGATATGCATATTAGAAAGAGGATTGAGGCACTCCAAGTATCTTCAAATGTGTTTATTGGGACAACTAAGACACTGCAACCTTTTCCCCTGAAAAGGTCTTTGTGCAGCTTGACAAAGACCCTTTCAGGGGCCGAAACATTGCGGTGTCTCACTTGTCCCAATAAACACATTTGAAGATATTTGGATCCTATTTCTACTATTGATATCTACTCCTTTGGGCTGGTGCTGGCCCTTGGTCCAGTTTAGCACCCGGGTCGTCATGTGATTGGAGAGTAGTTCATTTTTTCTCTTTTGTAGTTGATATGTGTCAAGATGAG